TCAATACATTGGTCATGCTGTACTACAATAACATTTTTCTGGGTTTTTTCCTATTGTCTGTCTCGTATTTTGCATTTTATTTATATATTGGGTTTCTCATATAAAAGAAACCATGCACTATTTAACCTTGTGTGCCACACTGTTTTGAGGGCCTGAATGCATGAAGTAATTTAACCTTCACACTACACCTATGGAAAATGAAACCCATTAATCTAACCAATTAAAAAGTGAAAAATAATTACAAAATTAAAACTCCACATTACAAGAAATAATCCTAAGATATAGCTATTTCACATGCGACCAATCTTGAGGGTGATAACTGTCTTATCCACTTCCTATGATCTATTCATATCTACGTTTCATCTATCAACAGTCAACACATTGCTTAGAAGAGGTACTTCTGAAGAAACACATCAATGACCAACTTCATCATTGTGCAAGCATCATAGTGTATACTTATCGAAACCCAGCCAGGGGAAGTTAATCACTTGACATGGCTTTTAGTGCAATCAAGAGATGTGATAAATGTGAGATGTAAGATGCTGCTGCCTGCAACACAGTATCCTCTTGCCCAAGCTGGCCTTGAGCTTGCAATCCTTACACCTCAGCCTCCAAAGTAGCTGGGATTAAAGTGTGTATCACTGTACTCAGCAACTGTTTTTATAAGTAGGAGTACACTCTAAAATAATAATAAAGGCATAGCAGAGTAGATAAACTGAAAATTATTTTTATTGACTATTATTAGAGTACATAATTGTACGTGCTACACTTTTCTCTGGCTGGCAGCACAATAGGTTTGCATACACCAGAATCACCACAAACACCTGGGTAATGGGGTACACTACAACTTTACAGGGCAATGACAATCTCTAGGCAATGGTAATTTTTCAGCTCCACAACAATCTTATGGAACCATTATCATTATTTGTGGTCTGACAACCAGAACATCATTATGTAGCACATTACTCTCACTATATTTATCATCCATATCCTTTAAGGGATTTTTTATTAAAGGAATACATGCTCATGGTAAAAATACTCAAATTATAATAATTAGGTTTTTTGTCTTTTAAAAATAAAAGTAAAAGTTGTGTCTCTCCCTGGTTGTCATCCTAGTGAAATGAAGAAATTACTAACAATTTCATGCCAATTCATCCATAAATTTTTGAAGAACATGTACGTTTGTTTAATTTGCTGTTTTTGTTCTTGTTCATTTGTTTTTGTGGAAACAGGGCCTCACGAAACTGCCCAGGTTGGCCTCAAAATAGCTGGGATTACAGCTATGTGCCCTTGCACCTAGCTCTATAAACATATTTTATACCTTTATCTTACATACACATACACACACAGACCACATCCCACAGTGTTCGAAAGCATGCTTCTGGTTAACATCTTGGACAATACACAGACTGAGATGACTCATGTGTGGGTCTTGAGTATGACACTGGCTACACTCACTTGTGTCCTAAGTGTGTTCTTTGGTGCTGGAGGTAATGGTGAATGTGAGAGAGGAAGCAAGCTGGCAAGATACAGGAGGTGATGTGGTGGGATGTAAGGTAATTCTGTTGTTGGTCCTCAGGTGGGGCAAGCATTCATGCAAGCCCTAGGCCAGCTGACAAAAAAATCAGGTATGCATGCAAGCAACACTTACAATGCCTTTAGGACAGTTCTAGCTCTACTCTTTGCATGTTCACGCTTTTTATCTCACTTAAATCATATGGAACCCCTCTGAGATAGGAATTATCTACATTTTACAGGCAACAAAACTAAAAACGAAATATCATCTACGTGCTAAATGTTGAAACATAGCGTTTAAAAAATGAAACAAAGAGCCAACTCAGTTCTTTTGATTCCCACCCAGGGTACTATACACTGCACTCTAGCAGAGGCTTCTAGGGAGAGTACTTTGTACCCTGCTTAACATCCATAGAATACTGGCTTTGCATTTCTTGTACATCCTTCATCTCCTTCCTCATCATTACCTTTATCTATGTAGTCTCTTCTTATGCTGCAGGGGCTAAAAAGTTGCCAAGTCAAGAAATGGTCAGAAGCTGTGAAATGTCCCCTCACAGCAGAGAAAGGATCCTGGGGAATACAGGTAGAGATGGTGACCACTCATCATTCCAGCAGCCGAACCTGTCTCCAGTCTGCCCCAGTCTCCGTCTCTCAGTTCCTGCTCCTTCTTGCAAAGGATGTGGCTCTAGCTCTACTGGGGTCAGTCCGGACCCAGATCTGGAGGGGCAGTGCTCCCTGAATTGGCACATCCTCTTTCCCATCTTTGTCCCTTTTCCCATCTTATCAGCCCTCTTCAGTCTAAGCTGGATCTTTCTCTCCCCCTTAGGTTCCCAAGGCTGAGGGTGGGATGAAGATTTGACCTCTGGTCCAGTTGAAGTGGCACAGCCCAGGGGCAGAATCCAGCTCCTCCTTCTAGGATGAGGAAACTAAAGCACCACAAGGGCATTCCTACAGGTATCACCACCCATACAAATGTAAGAGGCATAAACTACTGAACAAGAGCCTTAAATCCCAAACCCTTAAACCCTGGCAGTGCCCAGGGGCAGCTTGAAAGTCTGTGGAGCTACCAGCAAAGAGAAAGAGTTGGGTAAATGCTTGAGGGGTCTCTGGTAACCCTTGTGCCAAAAGCTTCCTCCTGTTAGAACTTTGGGGGAGGGAGTATGATCATGCTGCCTGGTCCCATAAGTCAACCAGAGTGCCCTAGACCAAAATCAACTGCCACTAGATCTCCAGGAATGGGCTCCTCTTGGAACACTGTCCCACTAACTCCATGTGCCAACTCCTACCCTGGGCTAAGTTTCCTGGACAATCAGGAGCTTCTAGAAACTCCCAGCCATGCGAAAGACCTAAACCCCTTTTCTGGGCTCACTTCTTGTAAGCCTTGTGGTAATGCAGTATTGTTACAGGTCTTTCAGGCAATAAGAGGACAGGGTAGATTATTAACAACTATGTGTAATGAAAGTTTAGATGACATGGACCAAGTCCTAGTAAAATGAAACTTACATAAATAGACTGAAGAAAAAACAGAATTTTGAAATAGTCTCATTACTACTACAGAAAATAAATCACTAATTTTAAATTGTCCTATAAAGTGAACTCCAGAGCCCAAGGGCTTCACTAGCAAACTCTACCAAACATGTTAGAAATAATTCCAATGATAGATGAGTTCTACCATAAAACAGAAAAAAGAAAAGGTATATCCAACCGTTTTACCAATGACTCACAAGAAGAGTATATTTAAATAGTATAGAACAATGTCACTCATAAATAAAAAATAAAATATATGGAAATAAGACAAATTGGGATAAGTTTAGGATTGCAACACTAGAGATTAATAAATATATACCTTAACAGATGTAGAACATATGATAAAATTCAACATATATCCATGATAAGTACTCTTGGAAAGCTAGAAATAAATAAAAACTTTCTTATTCTAATAGAAAGTATCTATGTGATCCAGACATGGTGGCCACATGCCTGTAATCCCAGCATGCAAGAGGCTGAGGCAGGAGGACCATTGAGAGTTCAAGACCAGCCTGGGCTACAAAGTGAGCTCAAGGACAGCCTGAACTGCATGGCAAGACTGTATCACAAAGACAAAATAAAAGTATCTATGTGTAAAAGCCCCATAGTATTCATTACAGTACCGTGTTTAAAATATTCCTGTTGAAATGAGGAATATGACAAGCATATTTACTATCATATCTTCTAGGTAACTTAACTCTGTACATCAGGGCTAGTGGATGTCTTAAGGAAAAGAAAAGTATACATATTCAAAAAGAAGATACATAGTATTATTATTTTATACAGTATGGGTGTATATTTAGAAAATCCAGAAAAATATGGAGATAAATTAGTAGAAAAAGCAAGTTTAGCAAGGTTGCTAGACAAAGTCAATATATGAAAACACACAGCCCTCTATCAGCTCTAAGCAGAACATGAAGAGTTTTTCAGATATCACTTATAACTTCCTATAAATATATTTAACAAATGGCACAGAATGATTTCTTCAAAGAAAACTGTAAAGATTTTTTGAAAGAATTTAAGAAATCAAAGTTTAATTACAACAATATCACATGTGTCTTCAGTTTGTCTTCTTTTTAACTTATAATTGCGTTTCACCTAAAATATGTATTTAACTGTTAGGCACATAATTTAGCATGAATTTACCAAGATGATACTAAAAGTACACAAAGAACATTACAGTTTTAGCTTCACAAGAAGAAACAAACCAAAACCCTAATCACTACATGGACTTCTATGTTAATGTACATCTTCAGGCATATGAACACTAATTTTTATTTTCATTTTTACTTTATTTTATTTTGAGACAGAGTCTTGCTGTGTAGTTCAGGCTAGCCTAGACTCACTATGTAGTCCAGGCTGACCTCAAACTCACAGCAATCCTCCTGCCTCAGCCTCCTGAGTGCTAGAATTACAGGCAGTGTGCCACTATGACCACCTGAACACTAATTTTTAGTATGTGTCTCTTTTTTTAGCCACATGAGGAAATAAATAGACTGCTCAAAGCCCACAACAGATTAAATCCTCTGAACCTATTTAATAATAATTTTAAGTACCAGACAAAAATTAACCACAGAGATCCTCCAAGTAACACAACAAACAAATTCAGTATCATTTAAATATATTGTTTTAAAGCATTCTACTAGTTGTATATTAGCTAAAATAGTAATGTCAACTTCCAGGAAAATGGCAGAATGATAAGCAGAGAAAGAACCTCTCCAAGTTTTGTGTTCAGACCCTGGAAGACAGGAATATGAGGAAGAGAAGGAGGAGAAAGAAGGGTACCTGGACACAGGAAGGATCAGAACTGAGGGTTGAAACCCCTGGAGACAGATAATTCAGGAATTCAGCAAAAATAAGAAAATGAGGGGTGATGCGATGGCCCTGCTGGATAGGGAGCAACAGCCAGGAAGTGATGCAGCCCCCACCCAATCACCGTGCGCCAGTAGAGGCCATACCAGCTGGGGAGAAGCAGAGGGAAGCCATGTAGCCTGCCTTTGTGCCAGAGGAGGTCCTGTGAGCCAGAGAGAAGCAGCAAGGAAGCTGTCTCCACCTCCCGCTCCCTCCCTCATACCTGTAAGCAACCAGTTGCAACACAGCTGAGATGATAATAACTGAAGTAGGGAAGTAACTTGACATTTTTGTTGTTTGATTGACTTTGCAGGCCTGGAGCCAGTAATCTGGGCAACTATTTAGAGGATAACAATTTGCAGCATAGTAACAATTGTGGATTTCCTACGGCCCTATTGCTGTTTTGTTTTATTTTGCTGTTCTGTTTTACTCTCCTTTAATGAAAGGAAAAAAAAAGAAAACAAAATAGTAATGTCATATTTGAAACTATTTAAGTGACTAAAGAAGTCAAAGTCCAGCATTCCATTTAGTTCATCTCTTGTGGAAAAGTGCAAAAGTTATTCATTGATTTAGTTTAAAATTGATTTGGCCTATTGATAGCTACGTGAGCATGCATTCCATCGGCATCTATTGTGCTGTGTAAATATTCATAGAATCATCTTTCTTTTTTAAAATTTTATTTAAAAGGAAAAAGAGAAAAAACAAAACAAAACAAAGCAGTGTAAGGGTAAAAGTAATACAGAACTACAAAAAAAAAAAAAAAACCAGTAAGAAATCACCAGTTAATAGATTACACATTATCATCTTAGAGATATTTGCTCAAGTCACAGTATCAAAGCATACAAAGTGGACATTCAAACAGAGAGACTGCAAACAGTTGTGTTCAATGATCCAAACAAAAACATTAATATCGTCAGCTATTTAACACCCCTAAACACACTTGCTGTTGTATCCTTTAGAGCACTTTTTTTCCCTCTTTTTTTTTACAACAAAATTTACACATTTTGGGTTTTATTATTCCTTAGTTCTTATTACTTTTTTTTGGAAGAGAATAAAGTCATATATGGCAAAACAAAGCTGTCAGTCAAAACCAAGGATAGACATAGTACATGATGTAAGAACAGAGTACAAGGTTATCAACAATGGTTACCATAATGTCTCTTGTTTCCTTAAAAAGAATTGTCTATCTCATTAGGTATTATAAAGTTGAACAAAACAGTAGACAACAAGACCAATAAAACTTAAGCACTGTAAACATTACAGTACTTCCAAAGGAGACAATAGTCAAACCAGAATGGTCATCTTAGTGAATCTTATTGCCTTCAAAGTAGTTGCCTATACCCTCAAACTTGATACTATCATACAGAATGGAAGAGTCTAATCAGTCAAAACAAGATAGTGGGAGTATTACAGGACTTCAAAACAAGTTAATAGGAAATCAAAAAAAGTTACTATTATATATCCTGCTAATTTTTTAAATTTTTCCCCTTAATTAAAAAAAACAAAAAAAAACTAAATAATTTTTTTAATGAATAAGGGAGAGATTGAGATAAAAGAGGACATAACAATATAACAATACAGGTCAAAGCATGACTGCTTCAGCAACCTAGTGCTTCACCACCAAATAACCCGATTTAATAGTAGTTACCATAGTGTCTGTCTTTTTCCTTGAAATATTTGAATAAAACTTCATATACTATAGCTTCAAATATTTCCATATCAAGAAGCCCAGAATAAAGCTTTCCCAATTAAGAAGTGAAAACTTTATAAGGCTTCAAGGCCACATAATGGGGAATCATGATTACCACATATTTTTATATATCTGAATCATTACTTACATTAGGGAAACTATTCAGTATTCACACATGCGAGATTGATTTATTTCACTTATGAGTATGGTCTCAAGCTGCGCCCATTTATTGATAAATATCTCAATGTGATCCTTTTTTATAGTTGAGTAATACTCCATTGTATAGAAATACCACAACTTTTTTATCCATTCCTCAGTTGATGGACACTTGGGTTGTTTCCAAGATCTGGCAATTACAAATTGTGCTGCTATAAACATAGGTGCACATATATCATCTTTCACTATCACAGGTATTCCATTTGGATAATAGAAATTACATGGTGGCTGAAAGGGTTTTGGCCCAGACGGGACACTGTAGCCAGAAAAAGCCTCAACCCGGAACCTTCCCGGCCCCTAGAGATTTAACTGTGACTCTATCTCCCCCCACCCTTAGGAATCTGCCCCTGGCACCAAACGTGTGCCAATGAAATACCTGTGCATTTCTAATGGCCCTAGGCCACTACCCTAAGCTTAGGCTACTTATATATCCTCCATGCTGTGTGTCTGCCAGAGAGATCGCTGGACTCCAGTGGCTGGGTGGGGGAGGCTCGGGGGGGTGGTGTCGGTTCTCTCTCTCCGTGTTCTCAGAATAAAGGCCTCTTTTGTTTTATACTTCATATCTTTTGGAAATAATCCTATCAGTTGCATTGATTTAGGAAACTATCATAATAGATGACACTAGAAATGAGAGAGAGGGGCTGTGATACAGCTCAGTAATAAAGTGCTTGTGGGTAGTGAAGTATGTAAGAGGCCCTGGGTAATGATTCTCAGCACCACAGGGAAAAAATGAGAGGAAGAAAAATTCTATAGATTCTCAGCCTAGCTCACAATAAAAAAGTAATGATAGCAATTTACCTTAAAAAGCCAAATCTATTTTATTTGCCTGTGTGCATGTCTAAAATATGAAGTGATTTTTTGATCAACGGTTCTGACAAATTAAAAAACAAACAATTCTGTTGTATTGTTTAGTTACCAATTATTACTGGAATGTATTAAATGAGTTACACATTTTAAAAAGTATTTGGTGTAATGGCTAAATAGGTGGCAGCAGGGTTAGAGAATAGTTCTGAGATATACATCAGAAAAATTCAGGTACACTGAAAAGAGGACAGCAAAGAAAGCCAGAAATAGAAAGTAAACAGGAAAAATTTACCAGATACAAGCCCCGTATCAAGAGGGTTTACCCCCCCACCCCCACCCCATACCTCAGATCTGGTATACCTGACATCTTGGGAGATGATCTAGCACCGAGGTAGGAGTCTGCATTTCAGTGCATCTTCCCCTCCCTGAATTCACTTGAAGGAGTTAGACTTTAAGACAGAGTCACAAGCCACCTTAACCCTAACTGCCCTCACCTAACCTCACTAACCCAGTGATACTTGCAGGAGAAAAGTGAGCGAAGAGGGCCATCAACTTGACAAGATTTCTATGTCACATTGTTAGGAAGGTCACAGGTGAGAACCAGTTCCGAAACCTGGCGCCATAGACTGGAAAGGATAGAAAGAGGTAACTTGCGGTCACTGCGACACTCAGCAATGGGTGAGGAGTGAGTGGTTCTTTTGGGGAGGAGGCTGGTCAGCAGGTTAAAATTTCCCAATGTATGAATTTGAGGGAAAGAGCTCACTGATTTAACTCAAACCGAAATATAAATATGAATAGGACTTTAAAGATCCTTTAATTTTGTTTTAAATTTTGGTTGTGATATTTTCCTTTCTGTTTTCCTCTCCTATTTTCTCCTCTTTTAACCCTTTATTTCCCCCCTTTCTTTCCTTTTTTATCTAGCATACATACAGTAGGTGTCTGTATATGTGCAAAGGAGAATAAGAATTAAGCAGTGCTTTATAAATTCTACCTTACATATGCAAGTCAGAGTAATTGTCACAAAATTTGCATCTAGCACATGCAAACATAACCTAACTATCAACATATTAACAAGTTCCAACATCTTCACAGCCTCCCTCAATCTCCAATTACACTTCCCTACCCCTGTGTTCCTTCTCCCATTTCCAGAATTATTCTCTTAAGATCCCTCAAACTAACCATCTACTTCAACTTTAAAAATAATTCCAATAGAGTCCAACCTCCTATCTGTTCGTATATTGATATTTTTCTGCTTCTTCCTTATTGACTCCCTTTCCCTCTTCCTTTCTTTCTCCCACCACCATCACATCACCATCTACCTGTTAGTAGCAGCATAGTATAGTCTACATGGAACATTGACAAAGGAGTAAAATTGTTTGTTTTTAAATTTTATTTAAAGAAAGACTAAGCAAAACAGAAAATAAGTAGCAATAATACATACATTCAGAGAAAAAATAAAGAGTAAGAAATCACTAGTTGATGTTTACATATTGTCGTTTTACAAATAGTTGTTCAAGGTACAAGAGTCGAACATGTAAAGTGGGAATTCAAACAGTGAGACTGCAACCAGTTCTGTTCAACTATCCAACAAAAACTTAGAAATATGGTTATCAATCCTATACACTTAAACATACATGCAGTTATCCATATCTTCAATTATGTTGAGATTGAGTAAACCCAAGCAGGCTAATATCACTCTGAACAAAGAATAATACTATTGCTGGGTGTCACATTATGACACGTCAGGATCAGCACTGGGTATTTTAGTGTCTCTTGTTCTTCAAAGTATGTGTTCATTTCATCATGTGTCATAAGATCAGTTCTCATAAACTCTTTATAGATTCTACACATGCATGAGTCTTAACGTGTATTTCTATCCTTTCTATATTAGAGGGAGAAACAAAATAAAGCAAGGCAAAACAAAACATATTCTTATAAACACATGAAACAAAATAAACATATAAGACCATTGTACAAGGAGTTCTACCATAGTTCCTGTCTGTCTCTTGTTATCTCCAATAGAATTGGCTATATCAACAGACATAGTATAATTCAATATATCAGTACATAACAGTATTCATAAAAATACAACTTTGAATGTAGTATAGAACTTCAAAAACTGGCAGTTATCAAATCAGAATGTGTATTGTAGAGTCTTGTCATCTTCAGTGTAGTTGCCTATACTCTCAGACTTGATACTATCAATCGTATCAGTTTTGAATAAAATCTTCTCTGCCTCATTTCTCTTATGCTTTTTTTTCCATCAGTTGTCTGATTGTTTTCTTCATTCTGTCTTTTGCTCCATGCATTGAGGCCTCTCTGCCACTGTTCCTGGAATCCTAGTACTTTTCTCTCTCTCTAGAATGCCCTGCAGTATTCTCTGTAAACTTGGATTGGTGGTTGCGAATTCCCCAACTTCCTCTTTGTTTTGGAAGCATCTTGTTTCTCCATTAATTTCTAGAGACAGTTTATCAGGGTATATCAATCTGGGATGGAGGTTATTTTCTTTCAGGACTTGAAATATTTTACTCCAGG